GAAAAGAAAAGAAAAGAAAAGAAAAGAAAAGAAAAGAAAAGAAAAGAGAAAAGAAAAGAAAGAAAAAAGGAAAGTGTTTGAGGGATGTTTGAGGGAGAAGGGATAGGGGGAGAGGCAGCAGCCCTCCGTGTCTGTATTTATTCACTAAGGACCTGTAGGGCTTTTTGCGCCAAATGGCATGGAGAAAACATTAAGAAAACACGGGGAAAAAGCAGGTGATGCATGGCCAGAGGTGACAGGAAAAGACTTGATCTAGTCCAATGGGTTACTCCAAAGCAGAGGCATAAAAGAGGGGAACGAGTAGAAAAAGGAAGAATAAGTTCTCACTGAAAGGCAAGTGTCAGCTTAAAAGATACCTTCAGGCAGAAAACGAAACAGCAGTACCTAAGTCGTTATAATTACCATGCAGCACTGATAAAAGGAGGTGATAAATGGAGCTAAGGAGCTGAAAGGACAACCTCACAGGTTCATGGAAGCTCTGTGGAAGATGTCGCTGCCTCTGAAGTTGAGGGCTTAATACAGGGACGCTGTGTTTCTTTTGGGGACCTTGTTATTCCAGGAGCAAAACACAACAAAATTGAGCACAGGAAAATGGCAATTCTGAAGAATAGTTGTAAGTGCAACCCATGGGGTTATATTGTCAGAACGAGCAATGTACAGTTATGTTTCTGTGTGCTGATAACGTGCTGCCTTTTCAATTTTGCTAAGAAAACAAAAGCCCAAGATTTTTCCAAATCATACCAAAATGAGCTGAGTATTTGAAGGCATACGTGAAGGAATACCTTTTGTTCATTGTGTCTGAGGATGGAGGCAATGGCAGATATTTACTGAAACTCCACTGTACTTCTTGCAAACAAAGACTAAATGCATATTTTTTCATGACAGTGCTGATGTGCTTTTTTTTTTTTTTTTTAATTTAGCAAAATTGACAGAGAGGTCCTTCATGGAGAATAAACACGAACATTCTCATGTGAGTTTATACTTCAAAGGTCTCTTTGCGCTACAAATCTAAATACTTTGGTATAGAAAGCAATTTTTCAAACCCAAACAAAAATAGAAGCGTATTTATTTTATTGCATTAGACCTTGTGCTAGCAGTGGCAGCAGTCAGCCCCCTGTGAGCTCACTTGCCCACTTCCCCCCCAGAGAAAAATAGCCTTGGCACACGTTTTTGAGCAGCGTACTGCTGGAGCCTGGGTTGTGCAGGATTGTCCTGGGTGGAGTAGCTGCCATGCTGGAGCTGCACTTGCTCTCTGTCCTGATCCCGCTGCGCAGTGCCACGCTTAGTGCAAATGCAAGCACTGTGTTTCCAAAGGCTTCTGTGGGTTGGCAGGTTTGTTTTCCAGGGAAAAATTAGAGAAGTTGAGCGTAAATTAGGATTAGTTTGCTGATACATGTTGTTTGAAACCCAGCAAGAAAGAAATTCCTAGGTCAAGTTAAAATTTAAAAAAAATTCCAGTAATTTACTGCTCTACTTCTAAATTTAACCTATTCAACCCCATTCCTCTGTTTACTTCATCTGATCAATTTGCTAAGAAAAATAACTGTATTTTATTTACCAGTGACCAAAGGCATCATTTTTAATGAATACATGAAGAAATCAATGACAGCTGTTGAACCTAGAGTGAGATCAAATGGGGTAGCTTTGACAGTGCCAAATAGCTACATTTTCAGCTTATGCTTCAGTCCTGCTGCTTTTGTGCCATTGAATGTGCCAGTCCACACCACTCCATTTTCATCTATGAAGTCTCCTTCACCTTCCATCCTGTAACAACATAAATCCAGCCTGTTAATAAAGCATGCAGTCAGATTGTGGCAGCACAGTGATCTGTGCACACGCTGGATAAGCAAACTGCCAGAATCAGAACGCCCATAGTCTAGGCCAAGTACCTGCCTTCACTTTCTCCTACATGTAAAAGTTTTGATTTACAAGCCAGGAAGGTTTATGAAGCACATAGATAGCACAGGTGAATTTGGTTACAGCCAAGTAACACACTCCTTTGCAAAAGTGTACTTACACCAACATCTTGCCAGCATGTAGCCTGTACTGGAAAATAATAGTAGTCCTAATCTTGATTTGGAATTGTCAGGGTTTGAGTCCTATCACATTCATCTTGACTTTCAGCGGGGTATCCTAAAGATATGTGTAGTGTATGCAGCCAGCTGTAATAAATCATTTTCTCCTAACCTTTCCCTGTCCTATGTATTTTTATGAGAAAGTGCAAGGATTTACAGCCTCCATTGGGAAGAAAAGTAACTGCCACATTAACTGAGTACTCATAAATCATTTATTTCTGCTGATCTTTGAAAGCTGTGACCAAGCTCATCATTATACCTGAGAACTGCTGTAAAGAGGAGATGTCTGTATATCAGCATCACTTGCAAATGAGGGGAAATAACTTCTAAAACCAATTACTGGAGATTTGTTTCCCTTGAAAATGAAGACACCCAGCAGTCACAGTGAGTTCCATGGTGCTGCCTATCTGTGTTCTCTTATGAAAGCTACAGCGATCTGGTGAACTAACACTTAGCTTGTGTGAGTAGGTGGAAATTAGCAATCCTGAAGCCTGGCAAAAGAGCCTGCTTTGGGCTGCCAGAGAGCACCATGTGCTAATGATCAGAAACCAGTGTCAAGAAAGGAAAAGCAGGGTGCATCAGCAGCAGTGTTTTAATTAAATAAAATCACAGGTTTGAAGCAGTGCTATTAGTTTTTCTGTACTTGTTGCTGCCAGCCCTTTTGCACTGGGCTGCGTTTTCCCAGGAGGGCACAGGCATCAACACTAAGATGAAAGAAACCACGTGTAAAACCACGTGTGTGATCTGGTGCTGAATGCCCGCGCTATGGTGGTGGGTATTCACAGTTTTAGACTTCACATAGAAGTCGCATCTGACATTTAGTATGACCACAAAGGACAGCAACTCTGTGGCAAATGTTAACATGCCAGGTAGTAGTGTAAAATGTCTTTAACTTTCCACCAAAAACTTGAGTTTAATATACAGGTTCCCATTTTGTATTCAGGTATGTTCTGCAAATGCTTACTTCATTTAGTGTCTTAATTATTTAAAAATTAGCCCTACTTCTGTACTACTGTGGCTGTTCTTTTTGGTCAGCAGGGCAAGGCAGGGCTGCTTTCAGAATAAATACTGTATTTGAACTATGCATATATATTTCTGATTTATTACAGATACTCAACTGAGGAGATACTTAAAGAAAAATCTGAATCAAACTTAGCAAAATTGACAGAGATGTCACTCATGGAGACCTGTCAACACAAAACCAGATGTGTGTCTGTAATAACCATCTTGAAAACTGTTGACTGGGATCAAATCTCTGGCTTTTGGCTGCTCTGATGAGGTGGATATAGCTGGGACCTGCAATCTCAGGTAGCCAGTGCAAGTTTCAGTGGTAGCAAGGGAAACATACCCCCATGCTGGGTGAATTTCACGTTGACTTCATACCTTATGAAATCAAAACTCACAGAAAAAATTTCTGCTTCAAACGTACTTGTTTTCATTGAATGGTCCAATGTACTTTGCTCCATTTGGAAATGTGTAAGTTCCTGCCCCATGATACATGTTGTCTTTGAACTCGCCTTCATAAACAGCCCCAGAAGGATGTTCTAGCCTTCCAGTACCATTCATCTGCGTTTAGTGAGAGATGATGGATAAAGGTTAATGTGTATTCTTACGGTATTATTTCCTTTTATGACACTATTCTTTCAGATTGCTACTTGTGGGCCTTCTATCCCATTCAGGTAAGTGAAGAGGACTGTTTTCTTAAGATTTAGACAGGTTTCTACCTCTGCAAGCACTTTAAATAACAGCTTAGAGTTTCTGGCCAGCCACAGCATCCACTAAATCTTTCCTCTCCTGATAGTCCCACAGGACCTTTATAATCTGTGCAGCAGGGAACTGCTGTCCCCAGCCATACAAATAACTCATTTATTCTGACAGCCTGAGGGGTTAATTATGTTTTCTGGAATTTCTTTCTGATCAAGGCAGAGCAAATCTTTCATTTGTTCAGCCTCAGCCATTAAGCCAAGCATTTTTGTAGCATATGTTCTTGTATAAGGGTGAGAAAAGGATAGACTAGATCTAATAAAGATGCTGTTTTTTAACTTCTGTCTCTTATTTATTTCATAGATCTCTCCATTATCAGCAAAATAAGAAGTTTTTGTGTACCTAATAATTCATCTGGGGAATTCAATAACCAAGGACAGCCAAAGACAGTGGTGTATCTATTGATGATCAGAGCTCTCCTGTTTGGTCAAGGGAAGTGTGTGTGGGGTGCACAAACACACACAGGTAGGCTGTGTGCAGCCCACTGTGTACACGCAGCCCATCAGCAGGGCACCACTGCCGTGGTGTTTCAGCAGGGCCAACAGTGACTGGTGTATCTGTGGGAGCCTCTGGAGGCAGCAAGGTGTCCAAGTACTCCACGTGCCTGAAGTGTTCAGGCTGGGCTTTGCCAGGATTCCCCAGTGGATGAAGAGCCTGGTGTTGATCTGGTCCTTCTCAGGTAATGGCTGTCCTTTCCATGCATCTAGGAATAGGTGTACTAAGACATTCCAAGCCCAAAGTTTGAAGTGAAGGAATACTTAAAATTACCTTGTCATTTAACCAATTACCAATGTATATCATTCCGTTGGCACTGGTATGAACTCCAAGCCCATTCCTCTGCAACAAACCCTCAGGTGTCTTTTTGCATTCCCCTTCTAGGAAAAGAAACTGGTATTTTCAGTTAAAACATCACTGAGACAACAACAACAACAAAAAAGCAACTACGAGTTCCTGAAGGGCATATCTTGCATCTGCAGGTAGGCTACCCCAGCTGGGCAGGTGGGATGAGCAAGGCCAGCCAGAGCAGCTCAGGGCTGTTCCTCTGCCACCACGGAGCCCCAGTGCTGGAGACACAGGGCAGAGCAACCCCCGGGGACCATCGCGGGAGTGGCACCTTTTTTTTAACGCCCTGAAGGGTTAAGGGTGATCCTGCCTCGGTGCAGGGAGCTCGGGGGGGAGGCGGGTTCAGGTGACCTGTCGGCTCACCAGCTGACATCCCCAAAGGGCAGATTTCTTCTTTTCTCATCCCACGCAAAATGGAAAAAAAAAAAAAAAGGAATTAGTGCCTATCGACTGTCTTACCATACTTTTCTTTGTTTGGGAACGTGAAAGATACTTTAAAAACGACAGCATCTGTTGAGAAAGAAGGACGAGCGTGGAGTGCAGTTAGCTGAAACCCCGGCCCTCGCACATCAGCTGGAATAGCCGTTACTTGCGAAGGGCGCGGCGGGGCAGGAGGAGGGAAAAGGGGAGATAGGAGTACCCTCCATGGTTGCCATGCGGAAGTGTTCGCCGTCGCTAGGAGGGTGGGCGCACCGGAAGAGGAAGGCGGCAACTTCCGGGTCGAGGAGCGCTGCGGCGGGCCGGTGAGGAGAGCAGCGGGGAGCGGGAGCTTGGGCTGTGGGGGCTGGGGTCTGGGGTCTGGGGCTGGCCGAGGTGCGCAGCTGTCCCTGCAGCAGCTCTCACGGAGTCACGGAATGATTTGGGTTGGAAGGGGCCGTAAAAGCCGTCCGTATTCGTACCCTGCCGTGGGCAGCGGCGCTTCCCACCAGCTCAGCTCCCCACGGCCCCATCCAGCCTGGCCTGGAGAGCCTCCAGGGATGGGGCACCACGGCTTCTATGGGCAGCAGCGCCAGGGTCCTATTTATGCTAGAGATTTTCTTCTTTGTATTTTACCTGAATCTGCCCTCTTTCAGTTAAAACCATCCCCCTTGTCCTATTGCTACGTGCCCTCATAAAACAGTCTGTCCGTCTGCGGGGTCGTGATGCTGTGTGTATGTTAATATTGGACAACAGAACTGATAACAGCTGCTTTACACTTCGGGGACTTGCCTTGAGGCTGGTGAGGGTCCTGCTGTGAGAAGGGCTCCCTCATCACCCCTCTGGGTGCTCAGCTGTCTGGGCAGCTCTTTGCAGAAGGAACAGGTCAGGAGCAGATTTAAGCTCCCTGCTGTGAAATGTCCCGTGGAGGTTTGTTCTTTGCACTCCCTTGTTCAAGGAAGTGCCATCGCAGTACAGATCTGAGGCTGGGCAGCACTGCTGATAGGCTCACCCTGCTTTCTCAGGGCCTGCAATTGGAGTGGCTGTGAAAAAAATTTGGATCGCTTTTGTGTTCTAAAACCACAGAACTTGTGTGGCAGTGTTCTGGAAGAATGTGCTTACTTTCAGGTGCATACAGGTGATTAATTGCACTTTGAGAAGAGAGCTTCTCTTGTCACACAGAAAAACAAATAATGTGCACCTGGGTGGTTATTTTGTACTAAGTCACCTTCATAACTAAGGGCTATTTTTTTTTTTTTCCTCCAGCAAGAAACATGAGCTCAGGAGCAAAGAGGAGAGGAAGGCCCAACAGAGGAGGAGGAAGAGGAAGAGGAGGAGGAGGAGGAAAAGGGAGAGGAGGAGGTGGCAGTGGTGGAAGAGGAGGAGGCAGCAGTGGCCGTTCAAACAAGCCTCAGCTCGGTGGAAATAGGAAATGTTCAACCAGAATTTGGGATGATGGAGATGACTTTTGTCTCTTTGAGGAACCAAGGCTGGAAACCAGGTCCTTCTATTAATTTTGAAATACAGAGGTGTTGGGGATGATTTGGGGCTGTGTTTTGGGGTGTAATTGAATATGCACAAAAGTAAAGGAATGTTGAAGCTGTTTCTTCAAGCATGAATCAATTTTTTTTTTTTTTTAATCAACTTGTAGCATTTTATAGCTAGGAAAGTTCTTAAAAGGCTTGAAGCTCTGATTTTTTTTTTTCTTTGCCCATGAAGTAATGTCAAAACATATTTGATCAGAAGACACCAATAAACACGGGATACTCATTTATTTGTATTCCAAAGCAGAAGCTAAATTATGGAAAATAAGCAGTAAATGGATGAATTTGGTATCCTAAACGTATTGTGACCAATCTAGCTTACAAGTACGTGGCTGTACTGTTGTCTGAAAGTAGTGGAATGTGGCACAGTTTTTACTAAATCACATTGGATGTGACATAGATTAAAATATGTGTGTGCATCCACATGTGCACTAACGCAGGTGCACACATCCCGGTCACGTAAGAGTGAACCCAAGTGAGCACTGCTTTGGTAATGGGAGTGTCTGTTTTGAAACTGAGGTTTTGATTGAGTCCTGAAATTCAGCTTCGCATACCTGTTCAGTCAACAGTAGGCAGGCAAATAACCATTGTTTTCTTCTTTAGATCAAATGTTTCTGCCAGAAGAGGAGGGCAAACGAAACAAAGACCTGAAGCCAAAATGCCTCTGCAGACCATCCATATGACAACAGAGAATCAGAGAAGAGTGAAGGAACTTCTTCGAGAGCTTCAAGGGCAGGATCTGGCTCCTGAATCAGAGTTAGTTTAAACTTCTAAATGCGTTAATAGGCACTGTTAGGAAAATTAAAAAATGGTATTCTTTTCCTCCCCATAACTTTTAAATTAATCTCAAGTCCTGTGATTTTGAATCTACTCTGTTCCTCTATGATGTTAACTCAGAGAAAGGGAAGGTGCAATTCCTCATTTAAGTGGAGGATTTAAAGTTGCAGGGACACAATCTTGTATCTATTCAGCAGTATAATTTTGTTTCACTTTAATTTGATAACCTTTTATTAGAGTAGCTGGTTCTGGTGAAGATGACGATGAACCTGATTACCTTGATGATGAGCAGTGCTGGTCAACAGATCAGGAAGTTTCTGACGTGACACCAAGGTCTTCTGCTGAGGCAGCTGCCCACAGAATTGTGGAAAGCGAAGTGTCTCCATTTGCTGTGCACAAGCTCTCCAGGTGATTATTTCCAGTTAACGAGTTGTGTGCTGAAGAGGCAAGTCGTTAGTCTCAGCACTGTAAACCCTCAGTGCTTTGAATTCCACTTGACTCCAGAGAGAGTCTGTGTTCAGGAATTCTGAGTTTGTATCTCCTCAAGATTTGATCCTCAAGTGAATGAACTTAAAATAACGGTTTTATGAAAATAAAGAGTTGTAGCATTTTTATGGCAAAATTTTCAATTCTTTCTCTAAGATAATGAAACAAGTACTGGGAAAGCTCAGGCAGCACTGCTGTTATATATGTTTATTCTGGGTAGGTGTAATTTTGTTAGCTTTCTTCATCCATTTTGCTTAGATCTGAGCATTTCTTAACATTTTTTATTTCTTTTCTGTGTGAGAGGGCTCAGCTTTTTCTGAAGAGCTTTATAGTGGGCAGTATCCTCTAACTGCTATCTGCTACGTTCTGATATGAGACAGTTGCTACGTAAACTGTCACCTTCAAAACAACAGACCTTTGGGGGCTTTGTTTTTCAGGCAATAGCAATACTGTCTCATGCTGTATGTACTTCCTTACTTTGAGCCTCATTTAGCAGATCTGTGGTTGTTTTACTTCGTTCTCTGTCACTCACTTGTTGCCATGTGGTCTCTGTGTTGTTGTAGGTATGGTTTTGACAGTGAGCGTTGTAGGACCGTCCTGAGATCCTGCAATGGTAACATTGGGGCATCTTTGGAGCATTTGCTATTGCAGTGCTTTGCTGAGAGATACGGAGACAAGATGCAGATTTCTGCAACAGCTGCTCAGGCCAGTCAAGAAGAATGTTTAGAACAGAGACAGGAAGAAGCTTTTGCCCTACGGTCAATCTATGGAGAAAAATTTGTAGAAAGAATTCAAAACAGAGTTTGGACGTTTAGTTTGGAACTGGAATACCTAACAAACAGGCTCAGCAAATCTAAACAAAAGGGTGGTTGTGCGAGGGACACAGCAAAGCAGACTTCAAAAGAAATATGTAAATTTTATCTCCAAGGAGGCTGCAAATTTGGTTCAAAATGCAGATTCGGGCACGAATTCCCTCCAAACCACCCACTGAGATCAGCCAAGAACTCTGTAGATGATTCCCACCTCAGATCTAACAGTGATGGTCCCATATATGAACTTGAAGTAAGATTTCCTGAAGAAAACAAGTATCCACTCCAGGCACCTCTTGTGGCATTTTACACCACCGATGAGAATCTGCCTCTTGCCTGTCGTCTGCACATTGCCGAATTCCTTTTTGGAAAGGCTTTGATAGCTGCAGAGTCTGGTGAACCGGTGGTGTACGCGTTAGTGACGGCCTTAGAAGATGAATCTGAAATAGGCGACGTACTTGGAAGCACTCGCCACAAATACAGCGCTCCTCCTGTTTCCCATCTGGCAGCGCGTCCAGTAAAGCTGCATACAGAGTCTGCGTCTGCTTCAAATCAAATATCAGAAGGTACCAAATTTTCATCTAGGGTTTCTGGGCTTAGAAAAAGAAGGCAGGGAGCGCAATTATGGCATCTGTTCCAAATCTGTTTCTGGAGATGAAGGTCATGTGGTGAGCCAGATCCATATTCCGTCTGTCCTCAGGAAGTCGTTTAGTAAAACTGCAGGGGAAGAGTTTTTGCTGGCTGCAAGTGAGTTAAAGGCGTGCACAGCTAATGTCTTCCGCGTGGTAGTGCGATTGTGTTGTGTTCCAACATAGTGGATAAAATACCATGCAGAGATGTGGTGTGAGCTCACTTGAAACTGACCTGGTGTGTGTCCAGAAGCATGTTTGGAAGGTTACTGGTGAGCTTTCACACACCTGTTACTCATCAACACAACAGTGTCTTCATAGGGAAAAAAAAATTACCTACCCTTCCTCACAACTAATTTTGTAAAGTTGGATTTTGTGCATAGTGTTACAGGCAAGTCTAAGAATGGTTCTCTTTTTCATTAATTCTTTTGCAAGCTCGTGCAGCTAGATGTATTCCACAGGAGGAAAGTTGTGACCCTGTGTCATTTGTGGCAGGGTGACAAGTAGCTGCGTGGCTTAATTTACCTTCTGACTCCCAGTTCCAAAGCTGTTTTATTCTAAGGCAAACTTTCTTAAAAAGAGCTTGCAAGAATAATAGCATCACAATTTAGAGCACCTGAATAGTGTCAGCCTGTTTTTTGCTGTTTTGTTTTATTACAGTAAAATACATTATTCCTATTCTTAACACCTCCACAGCAAAGTAGCTTTGTTCCAGAAATTGAAGTCAGAGCTTTCAAAGAAACTTCCTTGTGTTACAAAATACTCAACTTTGATAAATGCAGCCTTAATGCTTTTGAGGGCTAGCTTACTGTGTGAGCAGTCCTGTGTAAACCGATAGGCACTAAGCACTAACGTGAGTACTCCAGTTTCAGTCTTGGCTTAGAAGTCATTGGCAGTGGCAGTAACACTAACCACTTAGTGTTACAGTGGAGTTTTAATCAGTTTAGGCTGGTGTTGCCATCACCTGTGCTGCATCCCAGTCGCT